ATAGGGCCCCCAGCTGACAAGACAGCAGCTTCCCAGTTTTTTATTAATTATTCTTTTCCATTCTATTTAACCCTTTATAGCTTGTTACCCTTCTCTGCAGCATAATTACACTGGAGCTGTAAAACTGGAGTTTTCATAGTCATAGAGTTTCAGGCCAGGAGGCACTAGTACACTGTCTTCTCTGTATTCTTGTATATCATGGACCTTTAAACACCGGCCAGCCACTCCGCCACCAGAATCAGACCCAAGGGGTGCCAAAGGCAGAGAACAGGAGAGACCAAGATGAACCAGTCCCCAAGGCTTCTGCCACGGCAGGAAATTGATTAAGTGAGCTATACCCAGATAATCCTGGCAAACGACTCGCGCCCCATGCTGTAGAGGAAGATGAAAAAAAACCCAAGGTCCCTGCCAATCTGACCTAGGGGGAAATTCCTTCTTGACCTTGAATATGATGATCAATTAGGCCCTGAGCATGTGAGCAAAACCCTCCAGCTAAGCGCCCGAGAGAGAGAATTCTTAGTGCCAGCTCAATCCATTTCAGCCAGTGTCCCTTCTCGTTGGGGGAGATTTTTAGGAGCACAAAAGACAAGTAGGCATCTGGGTCCTATTGAAAGTTGCTGAGCGTTGGGTGCTTAACTGCTGTTTGTGTCTTTGAAAAGCCACCTCTTTGTGCCTGCCTGCTGCCTGCTTAAACAGACATTCGCACAGGGCTGCACCAGGGAGGGGGAAAGAACAATTACAAATGAGCTAGGTGCACCAGCTGCAACACTTTGTTTTAGAACAGATGCACTCGCTGATAACAGATCAAGCTTAACATTTTCAAAAGCAGCCTCTGATTGTGAGTACCCCAGCCGGAGACACCTGGGTCTTGGGGTTGAGTACACATAGCTCCCATTGACGTCATTCCAGTTGTGGGTGCTGAATATCTGGCCCCAGGTGTCTCCAGTTGGGTTCCCAAGAAAGGAAGCTTCCAACGTAAGTGGCCACTTTGGACAAATTGAGCCGAATACACAGGGACCCAGAGCATAGCCTGGGAAAAACCAGTTCACAGGCCAGAGCCTCAGCTGGTGTCAGTTGCAACGTGGCCAACTCTCACAATTTTATCTCGACTCGTGTGATACTTACTGTTCTTAAAGTCCCAGGTTGGGAAATCCTGATATGGCATGAGGATCTCAGGTTTCATTGAAAACAAACAAACAAAAAAGATAAGTTTCTAGTTCTCATGTTTGCAGAAAAAATCCCTAAAGGCTCAGAAACCCAAAAGGCAAAGAGAAAAACCTCATGATTTTAAGCCCATCTCATGCTATTTAGCGGCCCGATTCATGATTTTGTAACGCTCACGGTTCACAATATTGAAATTGGCTGTCCGTGGCGCTACTCCGGCTCCATCTGCTCCAGCCTGAAATACTTTGCCAATTTAAATAATGCCAACGTGAAGTTAAAGTCAATGTCAAAAGCCACATTTCAGTCTAAACGTTCCTTCCCCCCCCCCCCCCGCTGCTATTACAAGTGAAGTCTAAGATTAGCAGAGATTAAATATGCCAGAGAGAAAATAATTCTTTGGTTCTGATTTTTCATCCCGGTTGATGCAACTAGAAGGAACTATGCTGGTGTGAAGCCAGTTTGACTGAGTGGAGAATCAAGCTTCTGGCTTGTTCCCTTTGTGCGTTTCACACCATACCAAAGGGCAGGGGGGCTCAGGGGCTGGTGTATTACCTGCTACTGCTGTGAACTCATTCTTACACACTAGGGCTGTGTCTACACTGCCACTTTCAGCGCTAAAACTTTTGTCGTTCAGGGGGTGTGAAAAAACACCCCCCTGAGCAACAAAAGTTTTCCGGCCCGTCTTCACTGGCAACATTAAAGCACTGCCATGAGGGCAGGGGACTGAACTCGATGACCTCTCGAGGTCCCTTCCCGTCCTAGAATCTATGAATCTATGAAAACATGGCTTGTGTAGTCACAGCACCAGCGCTGGGAGAGAGCTCTCCCACCACTCTAAAAAAAACCCACCTCGGGGAGGGGAATAGCTACCAGCGCTGGGAGGAAATCAAGGAGCCGGAGCCAGGGCTAACCGATAGGTGCTCAGAGGAGGAATGGAAAACAAATGGTGAGTTGATGAGCCAGTGAGATACAGGCTGGCTGTTCCAGGGGGCAAGAGGAGAGGGTCTCATATCGCTAGAGACAAGGTTATATGCCAGGTGCAGATGGTCACGCAAGGTGCAAGCACTGAGAGAGAAAGGCTGCTCTCGTGGTTAGGGCACTAACCTAGGACTAGGGAGAGACAGATTTGATTCCCTGCTCTGTCACAGATGCCCTGTGTGACCTCTGGCAAGTCACTTAGTCTCTCTAGGCCACAGTTTCCTATCCCCAGAGAACGTTACCAGGCCATTGCAGACATGGGAGAGCTGTGTGCCACTGGGCTCTCCCCTCGCAGCACCCATTACACGATCACCTGAAATGAACGAAGCCGACAGTTTCTATTAAAGGAGCCACCTCTCCTCTTAGCTTCCGCGGTTGTCCAGCACCTATAAATGTGAAGCCTCAGAGACAGGCAAGGCCCCTCAGCACGAATTCCAAACCACTAGGGCCCAGCGCCCGTGAGTTCTGAGCTCTCTCACCCTTCACAGATTTCAAAGGGAGCTGGTGATGCTCGGCACCGTGCGGAGCAGACCGATGGCGAGGGAGGCAGAGGAGGGAGATGCCCTAAGCCAGGCTTTTCCGTGGCTGTGGGCTGACCTTTCCAGACTGACTCACTGAGCGGCATTCCCCTCCTCCTCCTCCCCCCCATCCCCCCTGATTTATGCTGTGCTCAGCGTTTGTGGGAGGGCCACGCTTTCCAGGTGACTTGTGCGGTTAACGCGAAAAGGGCGCTTTCCTCTGGCAAGGCCCGCGTTTGCCAGCCCGCCCCTGACACCCCCGCCTGCTGTTTTGCACATACCACATGTTTGTATGTACGTGCCACCCACACTCCTGGATGTGCCGTTACGGGAGCTCTTCAGGGTTCGTCGTTTCAAACGCCCAGGTTAGTCTGTTTGCTGGGGTGATTCTGCCCGTTTGGCTGATTCTTGATTACGAGGAACCGGTCGTGCGTGTTGAAAGCGTTGAGAATGTGGGGTGCTCGGCACCTCTGAAAATCACGTCTCAGGGTCTCAAGTTGGGCTCCTAAAATAAGGAGCCATCCAAAAGTTGTGGCCCTGGCTGGAAACTGGTCCCAAAGGGCAGAAGGACTTGGAGTACAGCCTGGCACCAAACAACACCCCTGCCAGTGCCTCAGCTAGTAACTCTCGTCTGTCCTTAGCGGACGGGGAAGCTGGAAATGGGAGCGAATGAAGCAGCGGGGTCGCCCCAGCAGAGGAAATGTGAAGCACACACCGGGCCTGTGTATTGTCCGTGCTCTGCATGGACGCCGATGAGAGTAGCACACAAGGATCATGGCCCTGAGAGAGGGGATGAAGATGCAAATTCCCAAGATTGGGCACTCTAGCTGGTTCTGCTGGCTGGGGCAGCTTGTCTTGTCCTGTCTTCCCAGGTCTTGTTCCTGGCGTCAGGGAGCTCTCTGGGCAATGGGCTTGTCAAGGGCTGAATGGCTGGAGTTCATAAACTGCTCTCTGCATCGGGGCTGATCCTTTGAATGGCAGACAGTTACCTGGGGCTAATCTGCAGCTGCGCTTGGAGCTGTGATTTCTGAGCGATCTCCGGGGCTATGCAGGGTTAAGAGAGGTCAGCACCTGGAGGGGGACCGAAGATGACCCTGTGCTTTAGGAGGTGGAGTCTGTTCACCTTTGAGCCAGTGTCTTTGTGTGGTGTTAAGGGCCCTGTCGTGCTGTACTTAGGCATAACACCAAGGACCTGCTTGCTTATGGTCATTAAAGACTCAATCGTGTTGTTTGCACGATCAGGGGCGTTTCTTCCAATGTCCTGGCCAGATTCCAACGTGGATAATTATGTTCGGCCTCCCTCAATTCCCTTCGCAGTCCCAGCTCCATCGCTTCCTGTCCTAAACTCTTGTGCAACGTTGCTGTGGTCTGATAAATGGCGGCTGCGTTCCATCCCAGAGCTGGCTGCGTTTCTGCAGTGGCAGGCAAAGCAGTGAATACACAGTTAATATCACAAGCTGTGAAGTCTGTAAAGCACTATGCCTGGCTTGGGATGGTAAATGCAGTTGAAATGTAACAGGATATTATCACTGATTAACTTCCCTCCACTCCTCTGACAGATGGAGCCAATTACTGTGTGTGTGAGAGTAGGGGGCACCCATGTCCCCCTCTGTGCTCGATGCACAGAGTCTGTGAAGCCACCTGCTATAGCGGTTGTCTCTTTAGCTCACGCTGTAAAGACTCACGCTTTTAGCTTTGGAGGTCCTGGGTTTATTTCCCCAACCACGATGGCAGCTGTCACTCGTGTACAGACTCTCCCAGCCCTTTACGCATCCTGCCGGAGGGCTGGTCGCAGTCATGCTCTGGAGCGCGTGAGAGACTGCTCCTCCGGGGGACACCTATTGTGGTGTCGAAGTGGCCTGTGCCTTCAAGGGCTGAACTTCCCAGAAAGAGAGGCTGGGTGGGGCACTGGGAAGCTCTTCTTGTTATGCACAGGAGAGCTCTTGCAAGAACCTTAAGCACTGAGTGACAACTGAAGACCACACATCAACCTAGAAAGGGAGGGGAGGCCCAGAGGCATATTTCCTCCTTAAATGCCCCCTGGGTGGGGATGGCCCCATGCTATGCCTCAGCCCCACAACCGAGCCCTGTGCCTCTGGAGGAGCCAACACCTAGTTCTTCCCTGCCCTCTGGGGGGCTATTGAAGCCTCCTTTAGAACCAGGGAGGAGACTGGATTCCAGCCGGACCTGTTACTTGTGGCGAGATTGTCGCCTGCATTCCAGGGACGTGCCCGTTTGCATTTGGTTTGCGCTGGGATGTTCAGGTCCCTCTGGGTGAGGAATGAAGACCCGGACCCTCCCTTTTCACAGCCTCTGGCTCTCGTCCCCCTCTTCCTGCAGGGACCATGGGCTGTTGCTGCAGTTCTGACTATGACGAAGACTGGATCGAGAACATTGACATCTGTGAGCGCTGCAATTACCCCATAGACCCGGCTAGTAAACCCCAGGTGAGGCGGATGGGGGAGAGCTCGCCTCTCATCACAGCATCGGGGTGCGGGAGGGCTTTTCATAGGGATGGTGCCCTTTTGGACTGGCATGGGTGGAGGAAATGGCCATACTTGAGGCTAAGACTTGCAGCAGCTCCGTAGTGCCGAGCGTTTGGGATCCAATATGCAAGGGTCTTGTGTAGCTAAGGAAAAGCCTGTGAACCCAAAGCACAGAGAAACTCCTCACTCAGGCAGATGGAAGGGGAAGCCCTTGGTAACGCCCTGCTGGGGAGGAAGTGAATCTGAGAGGACGGTGTGAGGGGGAGACTGGAAGAAGCTGGGTGCGGGGGTGGGAGTTCCTTCTAGAAGAGAAAATCAGAGAAATCCCCTTCACTCTGGTCTCTTTTCTTCCCTCCAGAGGCTGATACACAATGGCTCCGAGGTGCGTGATCCTTTGGTGTCCTATGAAATTCCTTCGCCGCCCTGCTCTCCTATGCAAGGTTGGTACCCGCAGACCAGAGCGCTAGGGGAAAAGGGGTCTCCGGTGCTGGGGAAGCAGCCCAGGCTCTGAGTCACCAGCGAGTTCTGTGCAAATGAGTCAGTCCCAGCTAGTGGAACAATAGCACATCGGTGGGAAAGGAAAAGGGCATGTTAGTGACGTGACTCCCAAAGGTGAAGTGTTTCCAATAACTCACCTGTGGCCATTCATAGAGACACCTTGGGCCGGACCCTCTCTCGCCCTGCACTTTGTGCCATCGCTCACCTCCGTGCAAAAGGAGGGTAGAATTTTTACTCCCACTTTGCACGAGTGTAATAGACAATGTAAGGCATAGCGCAGGGGAGAGTCGAGCCCGTCATCTTCCTCTTCCTCTCATTCTCTTTGCTTTTCTTCGCCTCTTAGTCCTCCCTCTAGCTTGTGTGGATCTAAACTGAGCACTGATCAATGGCCCGTGGGGCACAGAGGCCTCTCTTGAGCACACAGCCCCAGTGCAAGTTTTACCCCCTCCTGGAGCAGGTTGAAAATGTTCCAGTGGAAGCGTCCGCCGTCGGCAAACGCTGATTTGTACAAAATCAAACCCTTTCGCGGGAACGGCTCCGTTTCATCGACGTTTTTGGTGGGAAATGATCACATTCATAATAGAATAAAATGTAACAGTGAAAAGGATCAATGCCAAAATGGAACGCTTCCCTGAGGCTGAAATGAAAGATTTGTGGAATATTTTGTTTCGTGGAAAATTCTGGCCTTTTCAACTTTTCCTCCTGATTCAGGGCAGAACCCGATTTTGAATTCTCGCCATTTACCACGGGACAGAAATTCTGAATTCCCCCCAGTTCTGCCCCCAACCATGGGCTTCTTTCACTCTGACCCAGAGGGGCCACCTCTCGGGTTCCAGCTTTTACAACCATTCTGCTTTCAACTCTCTGCGGAGACTTCCAATTAGCGCTCATTGGACGCTGGGTTGAGCCCTGTCAAACTCATTTCATGTAAGCCACCATACAGCCATCAGCTGGCAATAGCTAACTGACAGGAGCTGGGGCCTGGAGGTGAAAGGCTCCGCAGGTCCACTGTCAGGCCCTTGATGCACCTCGCCTCTGTCCAGCCACCTCTAAAGAGCTCTCTTGCTTTTCTTTCCAGATAAACTAGTGGTAGCTTTGTATGACTATGAACCAACTCACGATGGCGACCTGGGGCTCCAGAAGGGGGAGACGCTCCGAATTCTGGAGGAGTAAGTCTGCTGCCTTTTCCCCACTCACATTAAGCCATGCATTGGAGAGCCACTTGGAGCATGCTCTCTCCGGCCAGCCTTGCAGGCTCATGGGCCGGTCCGTGCTGCCGGACAAGCAGCTGCCAGGGAGGGGTCCTGCTGCCGCCGATTGCCTGCAGTTTCCTGGTGGGACCCCAGAACTGGAGGCAGGCAGGGCCCTCGGTGCCTTGCACTCCTGCCTCAGGGAGGGAGAAGGGGATGTGGCTGCATTTAGCAATAAGCTACAAGTGAGAGGGAAGCACCCATTGGACACTAAGGTAAGAAGTGGGGGGAGGGACAACCCTCAAATGAGCCAGCATCACCAGGCAGTCTGCCACCTTCCCAGCCAGCTGGGAGCATCTTCCCCATGCCAGTCTGGGGCCCCACTGGCCTCTTTCAACCAAGACCTCTGTGTCCGCGGAACTGCCCCTCCCCAGCAGGACTGGGGGGCTGACGTTGCCCTTTCTTCTGGTCTCGTTTCAGGAGTGGGGAGTGGTGGAAGGCCCAGTCGCTCACCACTGGCCAGGAAGGGTACATTCCCTATAACTTCGTCGCCAGGGTGAACAGCCTGGAGCCGGAACCGTGAGTGGATGTGTCATCTGGGTTCAGTATTCTCCCCCCAGCCCAGGCCCCCCCAGAGGGAAGTCTCAGCCCTGGCCATATTTGCCCTGAGCCTGGCTGCAGGGCTAGGAAACATGGCCCCGGTCCTAGGGCAGGAGGGGACTGGGCTACGTGAGCCCCAATGGATCCCTGATTCCTGTCCTCCTAGGATGCATCTCTGGTTGGGGCTCTGCTGGCATGGGGGTGGGCAGTGGGGTAGGGGAGCACGAGACTGCGTGGCACTAACTCTGTCTTGGTCCATGCAGCTGGTTCTTCAAAAACCTCAGCAGGAAGGATGCTGAGCGCCAGCTCCTGGCCTCCGGGAACACGCATGGCTCTTTCCTGATCCGGGAGAGCGAATCCACCAAAGGTAACCTGCGGCCAGTGAGCGGAGGGCCAGGGGGGGTGCCCGTGTCTGGCACCTCTGAGCCTGCCTCCTGCCTGGTGCTCTGAATGCACAGTGTTAACGCCGCCTGCTACACTATGGGCAATCCAATCCTTTAGTAGCCTGATTGTACCACTAGGGCTACCGTCAGCGTGAGCTTCCCCATAGCAGTGCCCTGACTGGGGCCTCTGGCAGTGGGTTTCCTCCCAGCAAACCAGCAACTGTACCACACTTCTTCCTATATGGGTGTGTGTGCGTGTTTGCACAACTGGGCTGTGTATGGGGATGCTCCCCTCCTCCTGGCGTTCAGCTGCTCAGGTTATAAAGCAGAGGGGCAGGTACTTGCCATTCTGCACTGTCTTACCCTGGCTCTGGGGATGGTACAAACAGCCCAGAGCGCAAGACTGTCTTGTGCCAGTTGTGGGGCTGTGGTGACGGCCGTGGGAGCAGGATTTGGCATGTTGGCGCACCTCTGCCGGTGCCTGGCACGGTCCAGCTTTGCTCCGGGAGACCCCTGGGGGAGGGTGGGCAGGGGAGCAGGAACTGTGGGGCAGGAGTCTTCAAGGCGAGAAAAGGAGACCAAGCCCGCAGTGGCCTCATTCCTTGTTTCTTGTTGGCCTCGCTAGGTTCCTTCTCCCTGTCAGTGAGGGACTTCGACCAAAACCAAGGCGAGATGGTGAAGCACTACAAGATCCGGAACATGGACAATGGGGGGTACTACATCTCCCCTCGCATCACCTTCAGCAGCCTGCACGAGCTGGTGGAGCATTACACACGTAAGGCCCCGGGCACTGCCAGGAGAGGGCACAGCAACCCAAGGGAGGGTGGGCACCGAAACGTCCACTTATCACTGCGGGAACCGCTGCGGTTCCACCTCCCATGGACACGTACAACAGCTCTCGCACCCCGTGCCCCACAGCGCCACCTGCAGGGAGAGGCTGGGATGGGAGGAGCAGTGGGCTGCCCCAGAGTCAGGGCCTAAACCCCATACCCCACAGCGTCCTCCTGGGACAGGGGGAACTGTGCAGTCTCTCTGAGGCTGAGTTGTGTTTCCTCTCCTCTCGTGAAGGCGAATGAGCTTTCACTCTGGACAAATGGATCCGCAAAAGCTGGTAGCGAGTCCCTGAGCACTTGTAGTGCCTGGCCCTGGCTGCACTCCCTCGCCCCGTCCTGTGTGCGTCCCCTTTGCTCTTCATGCAGCCTCATGTTTACCCCTTGATTTGCCTCCCCTGCTCCCCGCCCTGCAGGCAATATAGATGGGTTGTGCACCCGCTTGGGCAAGCCCTGTCAGAACCAGAAGCCGCAGAAACCCTGGTGGCAGGACGAATGGGAGGTACCTCGGGAGACTCTCAAGCTGGTGGAAAAGCTGGGAGCAGGGCAGTTCGGAGAGGTCTGGATGGGTGAGTAAAGCAGCAGCCATGACACCGGCCCTGAGGTGGGTGACGCTGACAGGCAGGCCAGTCGCTGGGTGCGGGGTGGCACTGGTGGGCTCGGTTCCCAGGCATGGCCAGGGGAATGTCTGGTTATGTGCAGAATCCCGCTCCAGCTGGTATTTAGGAACGGCCCTGACAGGGTCCCAAAAGCTGCCTGCAGGCGTCTTCAGCCAAGGGCGGGAGGAAGGGTCACAGGGTGCAGTGAGAGGACAGCAGGACCCCCAGCCTCCAAACAATGAGGTCACATTGTGAATAAACATGGATCTCAGCTACATTTAGGGGATGGGTTTAATACTGTGACTGACTAGTGTGCATGAGCACCGCTGCCCTTTTCCGGATGGAAACAAAACTCATTGGTTGTGAGTCATAGGCCCTATACTGCCAATAGGGAATGGAGAGTCTCCTGCAGCTCGAGCAGGCCTGTGCTTTTGGTGCAGAGGGATCAGGGTTCCATCCTTGCTGGTGCCCAAGGGGTGCAGAATAGTGACCGCTGGGGCATTCCTTAGTGGCCCTGGATTTATTACAATATATTTAGCAATACCAAGGAGAGGCCCGGAAGGGAGGCCCTCTGCTTGGCTCTCTGCCCCCTTGCCTTCCGCTGTCACTCTCGCCTGCATCCGACTGGCACTGTGGTTGCAGTTCCTCGGGGCACTGATTGCTGATTCAGCTCCTCTCCTTGTATCTGCGTCCTGGGAGGAAGTTCTCCCCAGGGCTGTGGCCAGCGGGAGAAGGGAGAGGAGGTTGGGGGTAGGACTCGTTCCAGGACCATCTTCGGGCACTTTGTCTTCCGGGGGGGTGCACGGCAGGAACTGAACAAAGACCCTGGGGAGGGGCAGGCTTGCGACCCCACCCAGGGCAGTGATGATGGGTGCTGGACGGTTATCTGGACTTTGCCAGGCAGGGCCCGGGCTGTGGTTGGAAGGAGCGGCTGGGTTTAGTGGAAGTGTGGACTCCTGCCCTACACAGTGTAGGACGGTGTGGGGAAGGGAGGCCTGGTAAGAGGATACTCCTAGGTCGCTGGTCCTACTCCAGCCCAGGTGTGTAGGGATCCAACGTCATTCCCGTCGGATGGCTCTTTGCTGCCCCATGTGAGATGAGTTGGGCAGGGTCTCAGGCCAGTTGCTAGCGGGGCAAATGTCTATGTTGCAAAAGCCCCCCCGGCCCCTGGCTAATGGTTCCCGGGTGCCTCATGCTGTCATTTACATGGTGCAGCGGGATTGGAACAGTGGGTCTGGACCCCCACGCTGCACCGGCCTGCGGGATAGGTTGAGGCCCATGGGCAGGGGACCAGGGTGGGTGGGAAGCCGTCTCTTCCCCGCCCCCCTCTGGGGCTGTGCCTGTCCTGTGGGTAAATAGAGGCTGCCAGTGCCTCCCAGGGACAAAGCCAGCACTGATTCACAAGCCCAGCTCCCAAGCTCAGCGCAGCCTCTTCCCGCTCCCGCCAGGGCGATGGGCTGGCCCAGGGTGAAACTAGGGTTACCATATTTCAGCAAGCAAAAAAGAGGACGGGAGGAGCCCCGCCCCTGCCCCTCCCACTTCCCGCCCCCCAGAACCCCCAACCCTCCCCCGTTCCTTGTCCCCTGACTGCCCCCTCCTGGGACCCCTGCCCCTAACTGCCCCCGGGACTCCACTCCCTATTCTAAGCCTCCTTGCCTCTTGTCCCCTGACTGCCCCAACCC